ACACACATAATACACAAACACACAAAAATTAGACGATCGTATGCTTTTAGACACGAGTATTACTTTGTTAGACAGACATGAAGACAGGCATCACATTACTTTTCTGCCTCTTAACTCAAAATGGCCTCTTGTGGTATTCATGCAGTTTCACAACAGGAAGACACTTCTGAATGATGTACCCTCAGGATATTTGGAACTACTTTACATGGACAATAAACACTGGAGGAAGACAAATGTATGCTTTAAACTGTGGCTTGCACAAACTATTGAGTGTTAAAATTCAAATTACGTTCAGTCTGCTTCTGACATCACTTACACTAAACAGCCCCTTAATGTCTAATCTTCATCTAACCAAATGTAAAAAAAAAATACTTGTATTCAAATGGGCCATGTAAGGTATTATGTCACAACAACCTCACTCCAAAAATCAAACCGTAAATCCAATCTAATCAGCAAATGTTAATCTGTGCCCTAATCTTCTGCACAGTGCGGAGCATTTAATTGGACAGAGTCAGTAGATAGCTGCGACTAGGATACTTCAGACAGTGACAAAGACCTGTTACATGCTCTTGGCCCGTCTCCACTTCATTAAGTTGGAGGCATTGCTAGGGAGGGAATGATAGGAAGAGATAAAGTCTCACAGCAGAGGAGTTCTAGAGAAGTAGAGAGAGAGAGAGGGAGGAGAGAATGAGAAAGTGTGGAGTATTGTAGGGAGATCCAAACCACTTGTCATGCACATTTCCCTTTCTTTCCACCCTATTTGGGCCAAATGTGGGCTGGCATGCTTTTGTTTGAGGCACGCAGGGAGGTGGGGCTGTGTGTGTGCAGTGCGGTGGGGAGGGGGTCTCAAGCTAGACATTTGTCAAAGAAAAAACAACTAAATCCTGAAAAAACTAAAACTCATCTGGCCCTTATCTCACCCCATTATTGGATTTCTTCAGAAAAAATATTACAGCTGACCTTGAGACTGCAAGAATTACATTTTTGCAGTGCATACCTCTGAGGCTTTCCCATCCCCTCCGAGGGGGGCAGGTGGCAGCTGCTCTGCCCCCTCCCTGCCTCTGAGTCTCTGGCAGACAGAGCCAGCAGCTCCAGCCCACACTACTGCCTCTAACATTAGCAACGCTCTGGGAGGAAAAGCCATGTGGAGCTGCCCATCACTTCCAGCTCCACAACACATAAGACACTCAGCCCCCGTAATGATTACACTCACTTCTTTCTCTTCTATCGTGCACTCACTTCCTGCAGGGGGTGAGAACAGATCTGGTTGTGTTTGCTGAGAAAGAAAGCAACTAGTCTTCAAGATCACACCCTGAGCAGGGATCTCCCTTGAAACCCAAACCACCCAGCTACATTTTTGCACTTCTTTGACTCTAAAGTTTAGCTAAACGATTAAACGGTGACATACACACAGCATTAGTTCCCTCTCTGTCAGGAATTTCAATTAAAAGACAACCTCCCTTCTGCACAAGTATTTGAGCCAAACTGAACATGAACAGAGAGCTTTCCTTTTCCCAGTTTTAACTTGCTGCACACCCCTCTGGAAGCAACCACTAGCTGCTAAAGCACACAATACACACACAAAGAGAAAAAACAGGAAGCTTACCTCACTTTGTAGCAATGTACAAGCCGTTCAGCAGTCCATCACCCAGCACTTTCTCTCTGGACTAAGTTTGTGGAGGCAGCAGCAGCAGCAGCAGCAGCAGAAGAAGAAGAAGCAACAGGCGAGAATAAAGAGGAGCACCAGAAAGAAACAACGATGAGAGCAAGCGAGAGGGGGAAAGAACAGCAGAGGGGGGGAGGAGAAGACGGACTGGGCAACTGAGCGACTAAGACAGAGCTAACAGTGACTGACAGACTCCCAGAGACTCCTAGTCTGAGCAGGAGGTTTGTTAAAAGCCCACAAACTAATTCGTTCCTCTGCCTGCCTGCCTGCCTCTCCAGCTTGACGTCAGTGTGGCCACGTGATCTCGCTCTGGTGTGGAGGGGAAATGAAAGGGGAGGGGAGATAGAGAGAGAGAGAGAGGGGGGACGGAGCGATGAGGAGAGAGAGAGAGATGCAGAAGCCTGCGTTGCCGTGGTAACAGGCACACTGCACCGCAATGATTTCAATAGGTCATCTGACACACAGACACACGCATTCTTACATACAGAGAAGCTGGTTGAAGACAAGCTAGGTGCTGCACAGACAGACTAATACTGAAAAGGTGAATGGAGTGAAGGAACAAAAGAGAAAAGGGAGAAATAGAATTAGAAAAGAATAGAAACTGATACAAAGTTGTTCAAGTTTCCTATGATTTAGATTTCAGTTCTCATACGCAAGACAAACACAAGCAAACGAGGAATGTGCACCAGACAAAATGCTCTTTTGAACTTGTGACTCCTTGAACCAAAATAAGCAGCATGTTCTACTCTTTACATCAAGTTTGTTCTTACTACAATTTATGACCTTTTTGAGGGGCGATGATGTATAGAAAAAGGTTATTTCTATTGCATATTTAAAACCTTTCTCAGTTTATGTTTGGCAAACAAAAGTCCATATATTTGCCATGATTCTGTCCTAAAGATAAAAGAGCATCTGTTTATCAAACGCGACTTTAGTTATTAGAAACAGACCTTCCCTCTATGTTTTTGCTCTGAGATGCGCAGGACTCTGGTGATTAATTTAAAACATGACTAATAAAAGAACTCTATCTGTACAAGGAGAAGAAATGAATAAGAAACTAAATATCTTTCATTACTTTAGGGAAGTGGGGAATACAGCAGCTCTAGTTTCAATTGTGTTTTTATTTTATTTATATAATAATACTGTGAGACAAGCTGAAGAAGCACACCTCAAGAAAAAGATCAGCTTTCAAGTATACCACTATGATTACCAGCCAATCAACAGCAATAACAAGAAAACCAACAATGGGGACAGTCAACAGTGGGGATATGGGTATGATTACAACTTCATGTCTGATTAGCAGAGAAGAGGCTAAAGAAGTATTTATTGTCATTGTCAGAGGTAATGATGCACATCAGCCTGAACTCTCTCCAGTAACAGTTTGGCAGAAAGACGTCAGAAACTGTCTTCACACAACAACAGACTTCTACTCAGGTAGATTTGAGGCTGCAGGACTCTGCTGTGAATAAATTATTCACAAGAGAGTTAAAGCAATAGTTCGACATTATAAGAAATAGAAATTGGAAATACACTTATTTGCAATCTTGCCAAGAGAAGATTGATACCATTCTCAAGTTTGTATGCTAAATATGAAGCTACAGACAGCAGTCAGTTAGTTTAGCTTAGCTTAGCATTAATATAGGGAAAAAAGGGAAACAGCTAGCCTGGCTGTGTCCAAAGGAAACTAAATCCACCTACCAACACCTCAAACACTCACTAATTAACATGGTATATATATATATATATATATATATATATATGAGGAACCAGGCAACATCATGACAACAAGACTCCTGTATTGTCCAGTATTCTCACTGCTCTGAGCCAAGAAATAGTCCGGTACATAACAACCTATTAAAGCACAACCTTGCTATTATTACACTGCAGGTTTAGCACGGATTAAACAAACAAGAACAACCAAGACATAACGTGTTAATTAGTGAGCTTTAGAGGTGGTGGCAGATCTTTGAGCTAAGCTAAGGTAATGGGTTACTGGCAGTAGCATATTTCCCAAAATGTTGAACTATTCATTTAACAATGATGGTTAAGTTCTATTTAAGATTATTTCAGTTTGAATGTAACTATAATGCAGTTACTGCACATAAAGCCTAACATAAAATCATATGAAAAAATATTATATGGTTTCTATCAACATCATATGGGCATATTTCTCTTTCTGCAGAGACTTTTGTGCACAAGGACAAAACTTACAGCATGAAAGTTCTTGCAGCAAGAAAATTGTAGACTGCCTCCCTGATGGGTTTTGTTCTAATAAAATACACTTTTGTGTTTTTTTTAACTTTATTTTTAGTATTTATTAAATTGGAGCCTCTTCATGCATGCATATGTACATTTACATACAGCAACTCTCTCAGAATTTTAACATTTTCACATACTCATCTGCTGAAGTGTCTACTACTATACTTCCAAAATGTGCTGTGCATTGTGTCAAGTTTATCTGGGGCAGGGTTTGAGTATCAGACAAAGACTGAGGCTGTGCAGTGTGGGAAGAAAAACTATTTCAGGGCCAACCGACTCCTTATCCCATCCTCCATTCACCCAAGCTGTGAGTATGAACAGCTCTGGGCTGATTACATTCATCTGAATAGCATCTGCTGGCCTATTGAATGGAGCGCAGTGGGGCCCAGATTAGGGTGGGGTAGTGTGGAGGGTGTGGCGAGGTCAGCCAAGTGAAAACCACCCCCCCACTGGACTACTGTGAGTAAGGGTATGTATGGCTGAGTGAGAGGCACATGGACAGAGACACAAGATGAAATGCCACACAAGGCAGAGAGAACCGACATGCAGAGAAAAGTAATCTAATAAAGCCTGCAGCTAAGATAAATATGACTGTAAAGATCCTGCTGGGGAGTAAAGCAGAGACGAGAGTGGAAGTGATCAGAATAAAGAACAACAAAGCACAAAGAGATCAGATGATATAAGACACTGAAAAGTCAGGTGGAATAAATTATTTAGACTAAAGCCTGAGTAGTGGGCTGACTGATGATGCCATAGGTGAATACATGTCGAAAAAGTTGTATATACTGTTTTATATGGGTTGCCTTTGAAGGTGGGATGAGACACTGGTCAACACAGTGAAGGGTTGCAATGGGGAAGTATTTATTGGTACAGGAGAAAAACAGAATATTGCCTTTACAACACTTAGTTACTGCACTGCATACCTGGCCAAACACTGTCCAGAGTGGGAATGATTTAATTAATGATTTTCCATTTCACAAAAACACAAAGACTTGGTACTGCAGACCACCTTATCTGACCTTTTGAAGGGGCCTTTTCACTGTTTTTCAACTCTCTGAACAGCACTTCTGTAGAGGCGCGTGTGTGTGTGTGTTTTAGGATGTTGGGTGGGTAACCGGTACTAGAGGGAATTCCTTCCTCCTCAAGACTCAGGAAGCAACAGCATGGGCGGAAGAGAAAACAACTTCTCTTTCCAAGGCAAACCCTTTAGAAGTTGTTCCTTTGGAAAAGGAAACACTCCCCCACTGTGTCACTGTTAGAGACTCATTTTTAAATAACTCCATTATTGTCTTCTGTAAATTTCTAAAATCAGCTGAGGGTAGAAAAAAGGTAACAATAGACTCACAAATTCCTGAAATTGCATGATTGCAAATGAACCCAAATAAAGCAATGCAGAGCGATGACAAATGTCTGCCTATGGTTGTGTTTTAAGACTGAAAGTTGTTGTTGGGCACTGGGCAGTAAGGCCTAAAACCTGACGGTTGGACCTGTGTCAGAGAGCTGTGATGTTAATCTCAGAAGCTGAGCTGGAGGTATTAGATAACAACAGATTATACATTGGATAATCAGCTGTCAGGGATGGAAGGCCCAGAACCCTTAACAAGGTTTAAGTGTCTTATCCAACAAATCAGTGAAAGCAGAGAGGCATACACACACACCCACCCACGCATAACGTTTCCCTCATAATCTCAGATAATAGTGGATGGTGTTAGTGTTTCAATTTCGATCTCAATGATTTTGAAGCAATATTTTGAGAAACACTGCTAAGTGGCTAAAGCTTAAAGACTAATCTGCATTAACAAAGATAGGTTTTTGTGTACCAAAGAAACAATAAATAAAGCATTTGCTTTTAAAACATTTCCATACAATTGGGATACTTTATCACCAGGTAAATTCTTGGTTATATTTAATTTTGGTTTAGGGTTTGTGCAAGCTAGGGTTACCTAGAGTTACTTGTAGGTAAGATTGTGGTGAAAAAAACAAGCAATTTTTGCTGATTCTTGAGCTGACAGTGGAAACAGGTTTCTATTGTTATTGTTCTAACTTGCTTTTCACCATATTCTCCCAATGAAGGACTATCCCTGGTTACCTACCCAACCACCTGACCTATTGACCCTATCCCCTCTCACCTCATTAACATCTCTGTGACAACTAGTTGTTTTCTGAACACTAGAGCTAGAAGGAACTCTCTTTTTTGGAAATCCACACTCAACCCCTCTGATGTAAAGAATTACTGTCACTCTTCCATTTTTTCTAAAATAGTTGAGCGTGCTGTCTTCATTCAAACCTGTATGAATTTCTTCATCAGAACAACCTTCCTACCCCCAGCAGTCTGGTTTCAAAGCAGACCACTCAACTGAGACTGCCCTCCTTGCTGCCAGAGTAACTCTACATTGCTGGAGCAGCCCCTCTGTCAACATCCTACTGGACCTTTTAGCAGCATTTGACATGGTGAACCACTTAAGCCTACTCTCCACCCTCCTAAAACTGGGAGTCTCAGGCTCTGCACTCTCCATGTTCACGTCCTACGTCAGGGGCCACAATTACAGGGAAACTAAATCACTCACGTGGCTTTTCCTACCACAGATATGCAGATGACACTCAACTTATTCTGTTAGTTAATTCTTCAGACAGAATGCAAAGCAAACTTTAAAGGTTGCACAATTGCATATAAAATTAATGAAATTAATGAAACGATGCAAAAATACGCTACATTGCACAATCTGAAGTGAAGAAACACTGGCATTAGTACAGAAATGTGAAATGAGAATGAGATATAACAGACATAACTGGAGTTTCTGATGAGTTCTGAGTTCAGTGAGATGCTGAGTTGAACAAAAGCACACTCCCACAGTTACAATCAGTGTGTGCTGATAGCTAGCCTACAGCTAATGTCTGTACGGTTGGTAAATTGGGGTGAAAAAACACAAACAGTACAGCAGTTTGTCTAAAAACAGTTTAAGGTTATACTTTCACGACTAGTTGAAACGGAGTGGACTTCATCACAGTTCCAATTGATA